CCGTGGGTTCCGCCCCGGACGACGCAATGCTGGGTAGATACCCCATGGATGACATCACGGAGAACACTAACTGCGAGCTACACGTCAAAATAACGAACATATCCATGAAGGTGGCGGACGCCATTGCTTTTACAAATCCCCCCGAGGCAACCTTCCATTGCAACCCGATTCCAGCGGGCTATGCTCGTGTCTTGGTTGATGAGGTGGTGGACCCACCATATTCGGAGCTACAGCTTGACATTCCTGGAGGTGACAACGAGCGCTTTCTCGGAGAGGCCAAACATCGTATCATCCTATGGAAAAAGGATTGCATCATCTTTCGAAGGCCACCGACACCGCGTCAGCCGACTCCTCGTCGAAGTCCGCCACCGAGTCAGCAGACTCCCGCTCCTGCAAGTCCACCAAGTCCGGCAAAGTGTCAGGCCACTCCTCCTCCAAGTCCGGCAAAGTGTCAGGCCACTCCTCCTCCTCCAAGTCCGCCACAGCGTCAGACGTGCACTCCTCCTCCAAGTCCGGCACAACCTCAGACCACTCCTCCAAGTCCGGCACAGCTTCAGACCACTCTTCCTTGTCCAACTCAGCCCCGTCAGCCATATCTGCCGCCTCAGCAATCGCAGAAGAGACACCCCCAGCTATGGTGCGTAGAGGTGCGACTCGAGGTAGTACAGGAAGTACAGGCGGAGGCAAGCGATATAAATATGGTCCAAGCCTCACGCCTCTTCCGCAGAGGCCTTATGACAAGCCCGAGGAGGAAAACGCAGCCATATCGAAGGCTGAGGTGGAAGCCCATTTTGCACCGAAACCGCCACCGCCGCCAAGGGAGAAAGTGCCTGAGGAAACGATTGACCACTTCATTCGTATGGCTCAACCACCAGCTCCCAAGCCTGTTGACACAGACTATGAGCGCCACATCAGGAAGTTAAATCGAGCACGTCTACGTAAGGAGGCGAGCTCGGGATCGAGCAAACAACAAGCAGCTGTCAAAAAAATGCGGGAAAACCATTCCCCAGCTGGAAGAACAGGCGGCGCAATCGATCCCCTCGCTTGTTGTGCCAACAACACGTGACAGTACGCGCGCCCAATATTATTGTGGGCAAACAGTTTACGTTCCCGAGGTGGGCAATGTGGTAATAACCAAGGACCATGTAATGCAGGCTGAAGTTCTCAACATCACTGTTGGACAACTCCTCGAGATCGAGCCCATGCCTGTGCTTAGAGAGGATGAAATAAAACGGAAATATGTCCGGGGCCAACCTTTGGTCGAGCCAGACAAGGTCAAGAACCTCCCAACGAGAATGTATGAATTGCATCAATGGTACATAAACATTACCAAGATTTCAGATCGATTGTCCCTCATGGTGAATGTCAAGGAGGAGCATTACTTCCATGAGAAAGCTCCATCCGTTGAGTATTCTGAACTGTTTCAGTTATACAATCAAGACGCACTCGACAAATCTATCGTCAATTGCTATTATCTGTAAGTGATTTCTTTCTGTAATTTAAGTCTCAAGCTAGCTGTAGTGATCCTTTTGATCAATCATTACCTGTAATTATCCTCACTATATTCTTTTCTATGGTATTATGCAGGATGAAGATGTATGAAATGAGAAAAGGTGGACGCTTTGGCATTGGGTTCATTGACCCAAACACCGTTAATGAATACACATGGCGGATAAATCCACATCATCAAAAGGACGTAGAGGACAACATGCTAGAGTTCTTGAAGCGCCTCAAATACAATGAAGATATACTACTTCCTTACAACTTCCAGTGAGTCACACTGACTTGTACTACAAATTCTCTGTTTTTGCCTACTAGCTAGCTACATGTTTTTGCTTACATATGCCCGCTTAATTAAGACATGCAAACGTGTGTGCATGCAGATTTCACTGGGTCTTATCTATCATTAAAGTTGACGACGGAACAGTTGAAATACTGGACTCACTACTCAAAGCAAAAACTGACTATAACATCTTGTTTGGGATAGTCAACAGGTAATTTCAATCATTATTAACTATATATCTCGGCCTATTTAGTTCGTCATTTCATGATATGAACTATTTAATAACCCCTTTATTCATTTTCTTTGTCGGCGGGCAGGGCTTGGGCAAGGTTCATCAGCGTCATGGAAGGCGAATGGAAAAAAAGCTTAAATGGTTTCGACCCAAGGTAAGTAATTAAGTAGTACTAGCTAGCTAGCTAGCTGCCATCTTTTTAATTATCATGCTTGATTAATTATTATCTGATCAAATTCCATTCTCGTAAAGGCCCTGAAGCAGGCGCAGGGGACTGATCTGTGTGCATTCTGCGTTTGCGAGAACATTCGCATGATGGTGTCCGAAAGGAGCAGATCTCAAAGACAGGAATGGGTACGCTTGTCAGAACACTATTCACAATTTTTACACCATTATCGATATCTAGTCACACAACTAATACACATGCATATTGATCTCCTTCTTAACAGTTCAAAGAGGTGCGGGAGAAGCTTCTAGAAACGGAGCGCGTAGAAGCACTTCAAGAGGAAATAGCGGGATTTTTGCTCGACCAGGTCATAAATCCAAAGGGAGAATACTATTACCCGCTACCGCCCTCATGAAAACCACTTCCAATTGTCATCGTGCTCCGAAGGCACCAATTAGGCTAATGTCACTGGCTCCGAAGGCAACATGCATATGTAGGAGAAATTGTATATAGCTATACATGTGTGTATGTGTGAATTAATTAATATGGTGGTTTGTGAGACATTGATGATATATATATATGCATGATTGGTTCTACTAGAAATTATATATATATATATATATATATATATATATATATATATATATGCATAACGTGTACAATGTGTAGTATCGTAAAATACCAGCAAACGAAAAAGAATTAAATGGAAACACAAAATTAAATGAAAAAGAAATCATAAAACTAAAAAAACCCAAACCTTATAGTACCGGTTGGTCTTACCAACCGGTACTAAAGGGCTCCAGGCCCCCGGAGCTGGCTCGTGCCACGTGGTTGCCCTTTAGCAAGGGGGGGGGGGGGCTTTAGTGCCCACACTTTAGTGCCGGTTATGAAACCGGCACTAAAGGGCCTTATGAACCGGTGCTATTGCCCGGTTCTGCACTAGTGAAATGGTGTCAAGTAGCTATTTTCGTTTATAGGAATATGACTTTATTCATTGTATAATAGCAACGTCATTTACAAGTTGTGATGAAATAAAGTTCGGGGATCTAAATCGCAAAAAACTGATGTTCTAGAATGGAAAGTAGCCTTTGCTCGGCTGTCAGCAACATGATTAGGGTTATAGAGTCCTAAGCGATCTATGGCGATTGGAGGAGTCCAATGCCGGTCCGGTCTCGTTGACTTGTATGACACAAATACCGATTTCCTTCTTGGAGAGCCCATAAGCCAGGCTAGAGTCTGAGGCCCAATTAACACGGGAGGCTACGTCGGCCTGGATGGGTTGAGTTACGGTGTCCTGCGGCACCCCTGAGCCATGGCACCATGCTTGTTGAAATTGATCATGGGCACGATGGCGTTGGAGAACATGTCCATGATCGCCTTCATCCAAGTTGTTGCCTCGACGCTAGCTCTCGTGATGATGAGCGTGTCATCCGCGTATTGACTCAGGGACATGAGGCATCGTCGGCTAGGGGCTGTCGGGGTAGTGGATCCCGCGCAATGAACCGATGGAGAATGTCTGTGATGAGGAGGAAGAGGTAGGGAAGGATCGGTCGTATTGTCGCAGGCCCCTCTTGCAGCTAATTAGTTTGTAATTTAACATGTTAACAGAGCTGCCAATCTCCCAGCCCAATTGTGTGCGGAGCATTCTTGCTCGCTTTGGCCGAGTGGGGGTTGACCTAACCTAGCTCCTTCCTTCTTGGTCACTAGCCTCATGGGTGATGACTCCATGACCATCTTTATTTAATAAATGCTCTCAATTTCCGCAACAAAAAAGCAGACAAAAAATAGATGAGCCAAAATACAATATATCGTCTGAGTTATACATTATCCGAGGTTCACACCTCGTTCCAGTTGTGAAAGTTTGGGGCTGACACTAGAGTCGCTTGATCACACTTGCCAATCATGACATTCAATAACACTGAAGAACTCATTGCACAATCATGATTAGCAGACCAATGAACACAACATGTACGGGGAGAAACTTGGGAGCTCTTGGTCATTAATCTTTAACGGATTTGTGTACAAGATCAAGTGAGCTACTCGACACCCTTGTGTTTTTATTTATTTATCAAACTCTCCCAAAAGAAGATCATATATAGCCATCCATTCCTTAGTCCATAAGTAATCTTGCTTCTTAAGTTTGCTACACTCCTTGGTCATCAAGTTACTTCATCTCTCAAAGCTTATCTATGAGATATCTTGGAGCGGAAGGAACTTGCATCGCAAGTTTTCTTAGTAGTGAAGCAAACTTGCATGACAAGTTTTTTAGTAGTGAAATTTGCTTGTAGGGTAAGCTTGCTTAGCGGAGAAGGAAACTTGTATGGGAAGCTAGCTTAGCCAAGAAAACTTGTATGGTCATCTGTTTATTGACAAAATGTGTCTAGATACATCTGTATCTAGAGATGTATCCAGACAAATCTAAAACTACCTTTTTAGGAAGAATGGATTAGTGCTAAATGTTTGTATTACGGAATTAGCCGCATAATTACGTATTATAACACGTGGTTTCAAACAGTTCCAAATATATTTCGCCATATTAAAAAAAAGATCGTCAATTGGCATGCGCATGCGTGCGTCCCTGTTAGGTGTGACCAGGTTCGCGTGTGGGTTTCTCTCAGCCGATGTATAAGTACAGCGTGAGACAGTAGGTGGAGAGAATGTGCGATGTACAACGTGAGACAGCGGGAGTAGTATGAACTGTCTTCATACACTCTGGACCCCAAATCCCAGCTTCTTTTGTTCGTTCTCTAGCCCCCAATTCCAATCTACTCCAGGAGTGTGATCTCAGGAGTGTGATCTCAAACCGAGATCGATCGACGATGGCATCGGAGCCAGTTGCGCTACTGGACGACGCCCTCGCAGAGGTCCTCCGGCGTCTCGCGCCGCACGTCCTGGCCGAGGCCCGGCAGGTCTGCAAGGCGTGGCGCGACGCCGTTGACAACCGCCTGCGCGGCAGCATGCTTTCGCGCTCGGTGCGTGGCATCTTCATCACCTTCACGGCGTGGCACTTCTCGTTCTCGGAGTTCTTCTCCCGCCCCTCGAGGGGCCCGGCGATCGACGGAGGGCTCTATTTCCTGCCGTACATGGACGTCAAGGTCACAGACCACTGCGAGGGCCTTTTGCTTTGCCGTGAGTCGAGCGACGGTGCACTGCCGCACCCGCGCGAGTACGTCGTCAACCCGGCCACCCGTCGGTGGGCGCGTTTGCCCAAACGCCCCTTGCCGCACATGCCAGGATTAGAATACACCGCCCACCTCGTGTTGGAGCCCGCCGTGTCGCCGCACTACCAGGTCTTTCTGATCCCACGCGTACCATGGCGACTGCCAGCCGATGGCGAATCCGACGACGACAACCCGTTGCTCAAATTGGAATGGCCTTCCTTGTCATACCTCATCCATGTGTTCTCGTCGGTGACTCAGCGATGGGACGAGACGACCTTCCTTCGGGAAGGGGAGGCTGCCGGGATCATCGCCGACATGCAGTCAAATTGGTGGTATGATCAGCCTCTTTATCGTGCTGTCTACTGGCAAAACGCACTCTACATCCATTGCCAACATAACTATCTTATGAGGTATCATACTGGCTCCCTCCTCGCTCGTCATTCTCCTTTAACAAATTATATATAACGCCATGATTCACTCATGTTTATATTAATCTATTTTATCCGATTTTTTTATATTTGCAGGATGACCTTGTCAGATCACACATACATAGTAATTAAACTACCATGTGCCAAAATTAAAAAAAAAACTACCATGTGCCGGTGAATTGATAGCATATTCCAACCACCATCTCGGTAGGTCATCGCGAGGGGTGTATTGTGCAATACTTGATCGCTCGAATCGACTTCAGGTTTGGTACCTCAGTGAATCGTGCAGTCGAATAAAATGGGTGTTAAAACATAATACCCGTCTTAAGACCTTTGAGCATGACGACAATGCTCAACAACTTTGAAGACAATGGATCTTACAAAATGTTAACGCCCGTAAGGAGGGCCTTGAGCAGAAAGCCATAGTGGACGAGAAATATGACTATGACTGCAACTCTGACGAGGATAGCGTTCTTGACACTGAAGACGACGTTGAAGAGGTTGAAGACGTCCTTGAAGATGAAAACAACAAATATTATTCTTTCCTTGGATTTCATCCTTATAAAGAGGTTGTCTTCTTGAATTCATCAACATCTAGAGGACTAGCGTATGACTGGGTCAACTTAAAATTTCAGGACTTGGCCCGTTCATGGACATGGCCAGTTTATGGATTATTATATGGAAAGATAGACGCATCTTTTCCATATACGCCTTGCTGGATAAGCAAGTTTCCTGGAAACGAATTAGAATCTCTACTTGAAGATGAGAAGCTATCTAGGAGAAAGTTGGAACAGGAATCTCAACTTAACGAGGAATCCAACTTTACCTACATGGGTGAGTACGAGCTGCGCAAGCACTCTGGGCACGCCAAGAGGGTCAAGGACTCCGCCGCCAAGGTTCGCAACAGACGCCACATCGCGGCTCGGTAGGAACCCATCGTCACCGACATGAAGTCCCGGGGCGACGAAATTCAACCTTGGGAAGGCCACCATAGAACTAGTCACCGCCATAGTTGGATCCTACCTACTTGTTTCGTTTCCTGAAAAAAAAAATGAGTAGGCATATGTGCAAATCAGATGTCGTAATGGTCGCTAGCTTCATTTATCGTGCCTTATTTTTCTTTGTCTATGTAATACCTTAATTTATAGTGTTGTTATTTTGGTTTGCCTTGTAAGACAATGTGACTTTGTTATTCCCGTTCTGGGACTTTGCTAATTTAAACCCGAGTGTTTCTTGTGACTTTCGAAACTAGGCATATGCAAGTAATTTTGGAAAATCAACTTGAAGACGACTCATATCGGACGCCCTGCGTTGTAACTTGTTGGCTCAATGGAAAACAATGTTTTATACCATTTTTGTGTATCTTGCACTTTATTGGAGAAAGCTAACATTGTCCACCAGTAATTTTGAAGGACCCCAGGGCATATTTATTTATATACATAAAAAGTGAAATGTGTACATTCCCACTAGGAATTATTCACATGCTGTTTCTTTTCAGTAGTATGTGGATCCAGACTAGCAAAATGTCTCTTTTAACATAGTACAGACGCAAGTGCTCATGCATACATGCATACACTCATCATCATTAACGCATACACGCACACCCTATCCCATGAGCACCTTCGAGAGACCGAGCCGGCATATCATCTTGAGATTTACAAAGTCACCGTTGGGGCCTCGTCGTCGACGGAAACATCTCCTCCCACTGGCGTGTCGCCGGAAATTCTGAAATAAATGCAGGAATAATGCGAGCACCAGGACTTGAACAGTGATGGACTGACGATACCACTGTTCCTCTAACCATCCAACCAACCACATGTTGGTTCGCCAGACTGGCAAAAGGTTAGGCGTTGTGAAAGTAATTAACAGTCATGATACATACATACAACCACGTTTGGCACCGAAGTTAGTGGGATGTGTTGTAATACAAATAGTAGCTCCCGGTAGTAGTGTGACCACGTTTGGCACCCAAGAGCCCGGAGGTGTGACCGCGTCGCCAGCACTAGTAGTGGCCGCGTCGTCCGCGACGGATGCGCGAGCCAGGGGGTGTGGGGCGTGGCGAGTGGCGAGTGAGTGAGTGGGCGTGGCGTGGCAATTCTGCACGCCCGTACAAGACTCCCACACCCCCGTGCATTGCCCAATGGCTCGAGGTGTTGCTTGAGGAAAAAAAAAGGCCGTCGTTGCCGCAGGCGTTTGAGCGCCAGAACCACCATGTCCAGCCTCTTCTTCTTCCTTTTCTCTTCTTGGCTTTGTGCCAGCGAGAGTGAGCATCCAGGGAGGGAGCTTGGACGAGCTAGGGTTGAGGGAAATCCCAACAATTGGCATCAGAGCCTGTGTTGCGGGGGAGATCGCGACGATGTCACTCATGTCGTACGGTGACGGAGTGGGAAACAGGCTATCTCTGCAGTGCCCAACGCTCACCGCTAACAACTACACTGTGTGGGCGATCAAGGTCGAGGCCAACCTCGACGCGCATGGGCTATGGGAGGCGGTGGCTCCGTCGGATGTGGCGGCGGCGGTTGACCCAAAGAAAAACAAGACGGCGCGGGCTTACCTGCTCAGCGTGCTCGCCGAAGACATCTTGCTGCAGGTTTCATCGAAGAAGACAGCGGCGGAGGTGTGGACGAGCCTCAAGGCATGATTCATTGGCGCGGATCGGGTCAGGGCGGCTCGGCTGTCCACGTTTCGCAGCGACTTCGACCAGCTGCGCATGGCGGACGTGAGTCACTGGACGCCTTCGCCGGTAGAATTGGAGGCATGGCGGCACGCTACGCGGGGTTAGGGACGACGCTCGATGATGCGGCAATGGTCAAGAAGCTGCTCGACACCGTGCCGGACTGCCTGTACGCGGCGGTGGCAGGCATCGAGCAGTTCTGTGACATGGAGACCATGCCGTTCGAGGAGGCACTGGGGCGGCTCAAGGCGTTCGAGGAGAGGACGCAGAGGCGCGCATAGGCCGGTGGCGAACGGGCTAGCGAGTAGCTCTTGTTCACTGCGGCTCAGTGGGCGGCGTCGACGCCAGGGAAACGGCGGTTTCAACGACGATGATGGCAGCAGCAGCACGGGGTCGCACAACGGAGGGAAGCGTTGTGGCCACTGCTACAACTGCGGGCAGCACAGACACTTCAAGCACGAGTGCACGCGGCCCCGGAAGGCAGAGGCGGCAGAGCGGGCGTTTCTTGCCAAAGTCGACGTCGAGGGGCCGACACTCCTCTAGGACATGGCTTAGGGGGGACTGTAAGGAAAATAAGCCACGGCCATGTGCCTGGGCATAGTCGGACTTGTGTCTAGGCTTAGTCCGACTAGTGTATAGGCGTGTGTGTGCGGTGAGCGTGTCGGACGCGAGTTCGTGGACGCGCCTAGTTCGTGGCTATGTGTGTGTGCGTGCTATGAGTCTGTTGGCAAAGAACCAGGAGATACGACCACGTCACCAGCACTGGTAGTGGCCGCGTTGGAGCGCGGCGGGTGCGCGAGCCAGGGGGTGCGGGACGTGGTGAGTGGGTGAGTGGGCGCGTTGTGGGCGTGGCGTGTGCGCGCGGGTATAAGACACCCCCACCACTGTGTATTGCCCAATGGCTTGAGTCGTTGCTTGAGAAAAAAAAGGCCGTCGTTGCGGCGGGCGTTCGAGCGCCAGAACCACCGTGTCCAGCTTCTTCTTCCTCATTTTCTCTTCTTGGGTTTGTGCCAGAGAGAGTGAGCGTCCAGAGAGACAGAGCTGGGACGAGCTAGGGTTTAGGGAAATCCCAACAACATCTGCCTTCTATTTGGTCAAGAACCACTGGTGGAAAAAGGGCCTTTGGTCGCGGTTCGCAACTGCCATTAGTCGCGGTTGCGCAACCGCGACCGAACGGGCGCGACTAAAGGCCCCCCCTTTAGTCGCGGTTGCTTAAGAACCGCGACTAAAGGCCCGTCCACGTGGGCGCCAGGTGGCCGTCGGGGCGGAGGACCTTTAGTCGCGGTTCTTCTGGCCAACCGCGACTAAAGGCCGCCGCAGGTTTAGGGTTTTAGCCCCCCCCCCCCTTAAACCTGTTTTCTGTTTAATTTGTATTGTTTTATTTCTTTTGTGCTTTATTTTAATTTTGAAGGAGTTTCATATATTCTACGGTACTACATACATGCATATGAATGTACAATTTCAAATAAATTTGAAATTAGAACCAAAAAAAATTCAAGAGGAATATACAATATATATTCAATATCATCGGATGACCATATACAATTTTGAACAAGTTTCCATACATGATTTAATGCATATAAAGTTCTACGTCCTCGTAATAGTGTTCTCCTTTAGGATGGAGGACTTCCCTGCTGAACCATCCAGCTAGTTCCTCTTTAAGTGGTCGGAAGCGAGCTTCTGGACTAAGCATCCACCGGAGGTTATTCCTCTGAGCATTGGTATCACTCGGAACCCGCTCAGAGGTGTATCTCCGGATCATCTCACAGACATAGTATCCACATAGATTGGTCTCCGGTGGCTGAATATCCCCAGCATTCTTAGCCTTTAACATTTTGAATTCTAACTCTTTTTTGAATTCACCGACCTTTGTATCTACGAACCGTCTCCAAACCCTACGAGGCAAAGAAAATTAAATGAACAAGAGAGTTATTAATTAGTTACTTGATATTAGGAAATGAACGAAATAGGTCGATCGATATAGAGCGCAAATGAATGAAAATAATTACTTCTGCAGCATTCTTCTCATGCCGCCCCAAAGCTTTGGATCCATATTCACAGAGTCGTGGACGAGACATTCTGAGGTGTTAACTTTAATTACTAGCAGAATCCAGTGGAACCTGCGGACACGATACATGCACAGTACGTCATGCATAACTCATCGATTAGCCGGCCACATACCATGCATGGAGTAAACAAAAGAGAATGTGCTCAAGACAGAAACACTCACTCAAAATGGTAAGGAAATAGAATATCACTTTTGAGTTCCTGCTTTGTAAGAAACTGCCACAGGTCTGCCTCCACGTCGGCGGGGTAACGCTCCAACACATGTCCATTAACGATGTGTGGGTCAATGAACCCAACATCATGGATGTTCCTTACTCTGCATTCCTTAATCTTCATTCTGCATGTATAATAGCGGACACAACAATATAGTTAGGACATATATATAGTGCAGGCAATATGAACGAGATGGGGTAGAAATTAATAAATCATTTACAGAA